ACAGAGCAATTTATTGCTCATAATCATATCAAGGCACTCACTTACACAACATTTTACTTCATTTATATACATGAGTGGAATTGATGATTAGACATTTGAATTAAAATCAACCGATATAGGATAATCGACATTCAGAAATAATAATACGAGTGTTATGAGTGAATTACAATCAGATGGGAAATAAGACGAGTGTTTTAATATTCATAATAAGTTACTTGTTAGAATGTTGTGACGTATGTGTATGTGAATTGAAATAGAATTTTGAGATTATTTATTATCCTCCTGTGATTGGACTGACTGACTGGTGGCAATAATATCTTCCATATTTCTGGTATTTGCATTGAGTCATTTCTGTTGCATGTGTGGTGGTGTGTGTAGACTCGATGATCCAGGCAGGATTCAGTAATCGGTCTCTCTCTATCTCTCTCCACACACCTAGATTACTTCTTAGAATTTTAACCCCCTCTCACCCTATTATGTGGTTGTGTGTTAATGCGTGAAGTGCAATGTGGTGTTGAGCTTTTTTCTAAATTACTTATCATCGTGGGATCAATCATTCTGCACTTAGCTAAATTCTTTTATTCTATTAATCTCACTACTCCTGATCTACTAGGTGGGAGGACAGCTGGGAAAATATGGCTCTGAATACATTCAATCCTACTCCAAAAATATGATGGAGATATGTAAATGACACTTTCACGTTGTTAAAAACAGAACATATCTCTTGCTTCTTGACACACATAACCTCACTAGTACAGGGAATAACATTCTCATTTCAATCGGAAAATGAACAAGGAGAATTAGTTATGATATGAGGTTGTAAAATAAAATGAACAGAAGAAGGTAAATTGCACACTGCACTGCGTTTATAAAAAGTCGACGCATTCTAATATTGAATAATTTAGACTTTAATTCATCTCATCGGTTAACTGTTAAGGCAGGCGTAGCTGTTAAGTGTCTCACAAACCGATCGGCAGCACTAAGTAGCACAAGAGAAGACCTGAATGATGAAATGCAACAGATAGAAGAAGCGTTGGTTGTGTTAAATAACTAACTATCCTATAAAATTCATTAGGAATATGAGAAAAGGTCAAAAGCAAAATAAAAATAATTGTGAAACTAATAATGATAACATAAATGAGAAAGATAAGGCATCTACAGTTGTACCATATACGGAAAGGACATCTGAGACCCTAAATGGGATTCTCCACAAAACAGGAATTAGGGTGGCATTCAAACCTACAACCTCACTCAGGTAGGACAAGCTCTGTAGGCTAAAGCACCTTGTAGGTGGACCCAGTTAGACAAAATAATATAATTCACAGAATACCTTGCAATGACTGTGAGTTAATTCAACTACTTGGGTGAAACTTTAAATCAGGAGTAGAGAGATTGATAGAATATAAGAATTTAGCTAAGTGCAGAATGATTGATCCCACGATGATAAGTAATTTGGAAAAAAGCTCAACGATTGCACTTCACGCATTAACACACAACCACATAATAGGGTGAGAGGGGGTTAAAATTCTAAGAAGTAATCTAGGTGTGTGGAGAGAGATAGAGAGAGACTGATTACTGAATCCTGCCTGGATCATCGAGTCTACACACACCACCACACATGCAACAGAAATGACTCAATGCAAATACCAGAAATATGGAAGATATTATTGCCACCAGTCAGTCAGTCCAATCACAGGAGGATAATAAATAATCTCAAAATTCTATTTCAATTCACATACACATACGTCACAACATTCTAACAAGTAACTTATTATGAATATTAAAACACTCGTCTTATTTCCCATCTGATTGTAATTCACTCATAACACTCGTATTATTATTTCTGAATGTCGATTATCCCATATTAGTTGATTTTAATTCAAATGTCTAATCATGAATTCCACTCATGTATATAAATGAAGGAAGAAAGTTGTGTGAGTGACTTGATATGATGATTATGAGTAGCAATGATAATTTGTGCTCGAAAGATGGTCATCAGTTAATACTACTGTATAACACTCCACTGTGTGATTTGTCAAAATAAAATCTTATCTATAGTGAAGATTATCGACTTCCACACGCACTGCAAAATTTATGGTTCTGAATCATCACATGCCTCTTCAGGTTTACTAGCTCCTTCAGTTGATGCGATTGCCAACAATACGATCCTGATACCAACTTGACCTTCAGTACTTGGTTCAGCCGGTAGGAATATAACTTCAAGATGGAATTTCCCTGCTAAGATGACTCACAGGAAGTACGTCTCAATCTTCGAAAGCTAGATCCCTCTGAACTTGACAAATATTGGAATATGATCCTGTCCCAAAACGCACGTGACCACACTTTTGACGCAACAGTGTAGACATTGAGACAGCTATCTGGTAATCACTCATATCCATTTTCAACTCTGGTTATCACCAAATGAAGCCAACTAGGGACAGGAACGCTGATTTCCTCACCCATATTGGTATTGTTAATCAAAAATGTGAACGCTTTAAGCTGAAATCTATCACGGACAGTGACGTCAAAGTGCTAATAATCCCTTAAAGTTAACATTCCCTAAAATGAGAATAAGGCTACGAAACCTCTTGAAGCAGAAGCCAGATGTAACGCCAAACAACATCACTTCAGAATATCAATGACTGGTCAACGTTCAACTTGATGCTAGTTTATGCCAATGCTGATGTCAGGTTGGTCCTCAAAATCAGTCCATGTCGCCAGACCTCTCAAACCTCCACATCACTCTCTGGTCCTAATGCAACCGTCCATCCTCCCAGTTACTCATACAATACTAACCAATGCCTGGAAAATAAACCTCCACCATCCTACTGGCTTGCGCTGCTTAGCATTTCGTCAAATCTTGTCTGCTTGAACATCGATACCAAGACTGTAATACTTTTGGATACAAAGATGACTTTTATCAGGAACACAGAGAACGACATTCCCTGTAGCCACCCTTGAGACATACAGTACATCCCATTCTCAACCAGAAGTTGAATCTCCTAGTCTGATAGCTAATTCGTGTGTCAATACAACTGCTCACCGAAAGCGTATCAATACCTATACGAATAATCAAGCCCCAGTGGAAGCTACCAACCACACACAACGCTTTACCACCTAAGCTACCAACGGATAAATTTCCAATTGCCTTGAAATCTTTTCCAATTACGACACCTATGCGTTGCCATAGTCTACACAGCAGGACATAGTAAGTGGATAGAAGGTTTGATTAATGCGGCAATCTCATGCATTAAGTCACAGCCAGAATGGGCACGACAGAAGAACCAACTACAATAATGAATGCCTTTCGATAAAAAGATAACAACCAAAGGCTTCCGAGTAGATTCCCTACTAGAGACATTCATCAAAATGCAACGCAATAAAAGCCATCGGAGATTCTGACAACAATGTGCCACTTTTTTTGATGATATTCGATAGTTGGAGGGAACCAAAAGGAAGACTTGGACCTAGGTTTAATGCTAGTTGGCACTCACCCGTCAGAAAGGCGTATCTGCAACCGCCTTGAACGGACTTATATCCCTTCTGAGGAGATTCGAACCCGCGTCACCCAGTGCCTCTTGCAGTCAGAGACGTTACCACTGAGCTATTCGGGCTCGCGATTACTGACCTCCTTTCGAATTCAGTAAGCCAGGCAAAAGGGAACACAGACGGTCCGGCTCCAAATTGACCGAAAGGCAAGGTGATATGTGCATGGATATCTTGTCGTTTTATGCCAAAACCTGAGCCAAAGGAAGATGTTGGCTAGAGAAGGCAGACGACGAAAGCTTTGCATTTAAAATAAACCAGCTCATCAGAGAAGAAACAGCTTTTGTATAATTTAACTGAATCTTAGATTTTCTCCGTCGATAGATTGGTCACGAAGTGCTCAGCCTCAGGTTGACATTTCTGTCGGCTTCTTGTGCAGATGCTTCGACGATGTTTGGTCGCATGTAATTAGAATTTTTTAATTGGTGGATGGTGACTAGACAAGACAACACGTGTTTCGTCCTATTTTGGACTCGTCAGCCGGATGTAATTAGATTATTCCTCCACAAGAACCAGGAGGAAAAGAAGAAGAAATACATGTCTGCATAGATATTTATATATTAACAAAAGAAAGATAAACACACCAGAATGTATGCATATATATATATATAATATGTATATAACAGGTAAGAAAGGCGTGCTGCCTTGTTATCCAATCAACAAGTACATGAAATAATTAACAAGGCATAAGAAAAAAAACACGCAATCAGAACAGAAAAAAACGCGAGTAGACGAAATTATAAACCAGCTAGAGATAAATATTATCAGTAATTTCGATTGGTTGGTTGGTTGCTCACTGGCTTCCTCAGTCAATCAATCAATTACAAAAACAATCTAGAATGTGCATAAAGAGAATTATTACATACATAATATGTTCGTATCACAAGTGATACCTACCACCATTAAAGGAATTTATGCAGGGTAACATCATCACGCCCCCACCCACCTCACTTTCTAATTGAATATCAAAATAAAAGCGGGAGGCGATAGGGAAAGGATAATATGCCAGGGTGGTAGAGGAACCCTGTCACATACACACACGCACGCACGCACACACACAATACAATGAAAGCGGAGTTTGTCTTATTATTACTATTCACAAATGTATACTGGGATTAATTGGTCTGATTAAACAGGTGTAAGAAAATCATAATAATAAGCGAAGGCAAAAAGGGGACGCCATAGAAACTAGTGTAGTGCAAAATAGGGGGCGGGGAATTATTCATTTTGGTGATGTGTAGTATTAAAAAAATCACAACACGCATACATGTCAACTTCTCAAGAGGTGGTGGTGGTGTTTATTCATACAATCGATCAGCAGGGGATTGAAGGGGGGCTTGACGGGGAGTACTGAAGACTTCATAACACTATGTGTAGATCTATAAATACAATTACACAACAGAAATAAGATTTCAACGACGACAACAACGATGACCCCGTCCATGTGACGACGATCAATTAGCCCATTCTGCAAGTGCTCCGATATCATCATCATCCACCTTTTTCTTACCTGAAAGTAGTGGAGGAGGGGAAGAGGAAATGATGGCAGTAAATACAAGTAGTGCACATTGTTTAAAAGAAAGAAATAAAAAAGCGATAAAGAAATACCAGACACACTCCTCCCCAAAATTTTATGCAAATCGTCAGTTCATCAAAGATGCAGTTGTGTATGATGCCGGATCTCCTATATGCAGCATACCTGTTTCTATCCGATCTCTCTCTCTCATATGAAATGACTGACAGAACTTTTTCAAGATCAAGTTGCCGAACTGAATGTAGCACACAGCAGACAAATAAACGAGAAAAACATAGAAAAACTGTACAGTGAGAAGAATCCTAACATGGAGAAACAGCGGCAGGGGGAGGCGGTTAACAGATATGCGGGATATAAGTTTAAAACTTGGGCACTGTGGTAGAGCATAACTCCATTATGGATAAGATTTTATTTTGAGAAATCACACAGTGGAGTGTTATACAGTAGTATTAACTGATGACCATCTTTCGAGTACAAATTATCATTGCTACTCATAATCATCATATCAAGTCACTCACACAACTGGCGTAGGGATAGCTTTGAGTACTAGGGCAGAAAAGACATTGCTTGACTGGATCCCGGTAGATAGCCGAATGTGTGCTGTCCGCCTGAACGGATCAGTAAGAAGGAGGAAGGACTGCACTACTCGCCGATGCCTTTTCGTAATCTCCGCCTACGCCCCCACTGACTGCAGTTCAGATGAAACGAAGGATGAGTTCTACCAAAAGCTGTCTAGTTTGGTGGAAAGGCTAAACGCTCAGACATAGTCGTTCTAGCTGGTGACTTTAACGCTCAAGTAGGGAAATTGTGTCAATCTGAGAAGGATGTCGGTGGCACCTATGGAGCTCCGTGCCAGCGAACCGACAACGGTGACCGTCTCCTACAGTTCTGCTCTGATAATCATTTGTTTCTTGTAAGCACTAACTTTAAACACAAGGAGAGACACTGTTTGACTTGGAGACCCCCTTCATCAAACCAACGCTGGACACAAATAGACCACATAGCAATAAGCTATCGTTGGCGTGGGTCGGTAGGAGATTGTCGCTCCTTCTGGAACACGTGCGTAGATACCGACCATGCACTGGTCCGCGCTCGGGTGTGCTTACGACTGAACGGACGTAGGAAACAGCTGGCGGTAAAACCATCACGTCCCCAGCTCGATCAGGAAACTAAATCCGTATTTCAGGAAGAACTAGCTAAACACATATCTGTGTTCGACAGCTGTGCTCACCCTGAAGAAGCTTGGAAAAATATCCAGGCAGCCATAGATACAGCTGTAAAAGCTGTGAATAAGGTAAACCCAAAGGTGAGTAAAAACCACTGGATCTCCACCGCCTCATCCGAACTGATAGATGCTAGAAGACTTATTCCGGCGAGCTCCGAATTCAATGAGGAGCGAAAGCTGCACAAGAGGAAACTTACGAAAAGTCTCCGCAAGGACCGTGAACAGTGGTGGGCGACAAAAGCCAAAGAGATGGAGAAAGCTTCGAGGATAGGCAACACCAGGCAACTCTTTGGACTCATCAGGGAAACGGGTGGGAGAAGACAAATCATCAGTGAGACAATCTCGGAAAAAAATGGCACTATAATTAGCTCACAGGATAGACGACTGGATCGTTGGAAAGAGCATTATGAGGAGCAGTTTAATTTGCCCACAGCCACGCTCAACCTTCCGAGCATCCAACACCTCCCTGAATGGGATATAGACACAGGTCCTCCGTCACTAACTGAGGTTACTAAAGCTGTCACCAATCTGAAACTAGGCAAAGCAGCGGGACCTGATGGAATGACTCCAGAGGTATTTAAGTACGGTGGAGACAGCTTACTGTCCGGATTAACTGAGGTACTAGGCAGCGTCTGGGAATCAGAAGAAGTCCCATCGGGTTGGTGTAAGTCACTGATTATCCCCATATACAAGAAGGGAGACAAGTCTTCCTGTGATAATCACAGAGGGATTAGCTTGACTAATATAGTATCTAAAGTCTTAGGCTCAATAATCATGCGTAGACTGAGTGGTGCTCGGGAAGCACAAACACGAGAGAGCCAGGCAGGCTTTAGACCAGGAAGAGGGTGTATTGATCATATCTTCACCCTCCGACAGATTCTAGAACATAGGCATTCCTACCGGCGTCCAACAGTCATTATATTTCTTGACCTAAAGGCAGCATTCGACTCTGTCGATCGGGAAGTTCTCTGGAGATGCTTGGCTGTAAAGGGAATTCCAAGAAAATATATTGCACTGATTAAGGCACTCTACTCGTACTCATACAGCCAGGTGAGGGCTTACGGCGAGCTGTCATCTGAACTGATGACGACCAGTGGTGTCCGTCAAGGATGCCCATTATCTCCTTTTCTATTCAACTTCATCATAGATGTGTTAATGGACTTAACCCTAGGTGACTTCAGCGACTCAGGGATTGACTTGCTACCGGGGAATAATCTCGTTGACTTGGAATATGCAGACGATATAGTCCTTCTAGGCGAAGACGCTGACGAAATGCAGAGTCTTCTAAACACCTTGAGCCGCAATCTACGAATGTTTGGCATGCGATTCGCTCCCGCCAAATGCAAGATGATGTTACAGGACTGGACTACATCGACGCCTAGTTTAAAAATAGGAAGTGAAGTGGTAGAGCACGTTGACCGCTTCACTTATTTGGGAAGTACCATCAGCCCCAACGGGCTGATCTCTGACGAAATCTCAGCACGAATACAAGGGGCTCGTTTCGCATTTGTTAGTTTACGCCGACTCTGGCGTAGACGAGATGTTCGACTATCGACCAAAGGGCGGGTGTACTGCTCATCAGTCCGCTCCGTCCTCCTTTATGGTTGTGAGACCTGGCCACTGAGAGTGGAAGACATGAAAAGACTAGCTGTCTTTGATCATAGGTGCCTGCGTTCTATTTCCCGTGTAAAGTGGCATAATAAGGTGAGCAACATGGAGGTTAGGCGTAGAGTTCTAGGTAAACAGGGGAAATCAATCGACGAAGTCGTGAAGCTACAAAGACTGAGATGGTTAGGACATGTGTTACGTATGCCAAGCCATCGCCTCCCTCGACGAGCAATGTTAGCGGATATAGGGTCAGGCTGGAAAAAAGCTAGCGGCGGTCAAACAAAAACTTGGCATCAGTCAATGAAATCCACAACAGTTGGTCTAAGCCACGTAGGAAGGTGTAGACTTCCAGGCTGGGGTCCTCGGGACGGTAAAAATCTATGGTTGGAAACAATTGGTGACATGGCTCAAAATCGTTCTCAGTGGCGCAGATGCATCCACTCCCTGTGACTTATGATCTTCAATGAAACTGTTTTGTATTTCTTTATTACTCCTTTGTCTCACACCTCTGCTCACTGTTTCTATTATGCTTTTCTTGTACTTTCTTCTCTTGCTTCGCGTGCTACACGGAATGTGGCGACTTGAACTTCCGCACATTTGTGCAAAGTTCTATGTCGAAAACAGACAGAGACAGACAGACACAACTTTCTTCCTTCATTTATATACATGAGTGGAATTCATGATTAGACATTTGAATTAAAATCAACTAATATGGGATAATCGACATTCAGAAATAATAATACGAGTGTTATGAGTGAATTACAATCAGATGGGAAATAAGACGAGTGTTTTAATATTCATAATAAGTTACTTGTTAGAATGTTGTGACGTATGTGTATGTGAATTGAAATAGAATTTTGAGATTATTTATTATCCTCCTGTGATTGGACTGACTGACTGGTGGCAATAATATCTTCCATATTTCTGGTATTTGCATTGAGTCATTTCTGTTGCATGTGTGGTGGTGTGTGTAGACTCGATGATCCTCCAGGCAGGATTCAGTAATCAGTCTCTCTCTATCTCTCTCCACACACCTAGATTACTTCTTAGAATTTTAACCCCCTCTCACCCTATTATGTGGATGTGTGTTAATGCGTGAAGTGCAATGTGGTGTTGAGCTTTTTTCTTAATTACTTATCATCGTGGGATCAATCATTCTGCACTTAGCTAAATTCTTATGTTCTCATAGTCTGAATACCTCCAGCCTACCAGTTTGACCTATGTATTTGACTTCACAGTCATTGCAAGATATTCTGTGAATTATATTATTTTGTCTAACTGGGTCCACCTACAAGGTGCTTTAGCCTACAGAGCTTGTCCTACCTGAGTGAGGTTGTAGGTTTGAATGCCACCCTAATTCCTGTTTTGTGGAGAATCCCATTTAGGGTCTCAGATGTCCTTTCCGTATATGGTACAACTGTAGATGCCTTATCTTTCTCATTTATGTTATCATTATTAGTTTCACAATTATTTTTATTTTGCTTTTGACCTTTTCTCATATTCCTAATGAATTTTATAGGATAGTTAGTTATTTAACACCAACCAACGCTTCTTCTATCTGTTGCATTTCATCATTCAGGTCTTCTCTTGTGCTACTTAGTGCTGCCGATCGGTTTGTGAGACACTTAACAGCTACGCCTGCCTTAACAGTTAACCGATGAGATGAATTAAAGTCTAAATTATTCAATATTAGAATGCGTCGACTTTTTATAAACGCAGTGCAGTGTGCAGTTTACCTTCTTCTGTTCATTTTATTTTACAACCTCATATCATAACTAATTCTCCTTGTTCATTTTCCGATTGAAATGAGAATGTTATTCCCTGTACTAGTGAGGTTATGTGTGTCAAGAAGCAAGAGATATGTTCTGTTTTTAACAACGTGAAAGTGTCATTTACATATCTCCATCATATTTTTGGAGTAGGATTAAATGTATCCAAAGCCATATTTTCCCAGCTGTCCTCCCACCTAGTAGAATAGGAGTAGAGAGATTAATAGAATAAAAGAATTTAGCTAAGTGCAGAATGATTGATCCCACGATGATAAGTAATTTAGAAAAAAGCTCAACACCACATTGCACTTCACGCATTAACACACAACCACATAATAGGGTGAGAGGGGGTTAAAATTCTAAAAAGTAATATA